CGCAAGGAATTCGCAATAGCAGGCGAAATATACACAAACACTGATCTCTGGCTGAAGAAGACTCGAACCTACGAACCATGGAGAAAGGTACGCAGTGCCATACCATTCTCACCACACTGGACAATACCTTGGTTCAGGTTCGAGTCTTCTTTGGCCAAAGATCAGTGTTTGTGTATATTTCCCCTGCTCTTGCGAATTCCTTGCATTGTTAAAATCTCTAGTAAGGCTGATGCATGCAGGGGATGAGATGAAAAGCTGTAAGCCTTCTCCCTGAAAGCTGGCTGCCTTGGATCAACGTCTAGCGCAAGCTGGACGCCAAGGTATTGTCCAGTGTGGTGAGAATGGTATAGCACTGCGTACCTTGTTCCAAGGTTCGTAGGTTCGAGTCTCCTTCAGCCAGAGATTAGTGTTTATATATATATAATATATAAAATTATATATATATATATATATATAATAATATATAATATATATATATATTAATGTATATAAAGTTATTCACAAATAACCATACTTGACAGCGGTCCAGGATGAACTAAAATCTTCCTAAATTTCCTCCCCTACACAGATAACCCGCACATAGGAGAAACTTAATAAGCTTCGGTCCGACTTAGACCATTTACAAAGTCACAATTTGTAAATGGTCCAAGTCGGACCGAAACGTCACAGTAAGTTTCTTCTATGTGCGGGTTATTTGTGTATTGCTCCAGTCACAGTATTGTGCCTTTTTGTTCCTCTCTTAATTGCGTTTATCTGTAAATTGTTCCAGCCACGACAGAGCGACTTTATTCTTCACGTAAGGTATATGGCATGACTGTTACTTAGGAGATAGGATATACGAAGATACAATGTTTATTATTATTATAATTCGATTCACGCAGAGCGCTGAACCCGTAAGGGTTATACAGCGCCTGCGTGAGGGGAGAGAATTAGGTTCGATCCAAAATGGAGGTCAGGTCCAATCAGGAGCCCGCTCGCCGACATCAAGGAACTCTACTCATTGTTGTAGAATGGTTGGAGAGGTATGGCCGGGTTCCATCCTGAGGCAAACCTGATAAAACCAACTTCTCTAGCTGCCACCGTGTGAGGCTTATCAGATCCTTTCTATAAGCAGCACGGTACTCGTGTACATTCCCAGTTTTGATTCCAATGATTCTTTTTTTAAACTGGTTTTTCACACTCACATAAATTATTTTGTTTCTCTCTTGCAGTAAGGGATTTACGTTTTTCTTCGTAAGTTATTCTGTTGATACATGTACTCTCACCACCAAAATATTTTTACTTCCTCATTACTATTTCCTTATAATCTGACCTCAAATCTTTTGTTCCTTATTCATCTCCTGATTCTCATGGCCTTGCTCTCTTCTCCTTTAACTTCCACATGCTGCATCATCCCCGCTAACACTCAAGACAGAGTTAACTATGTTATATTTTCAATATCTACCTGCAGACAGCGACAACATACCAGCTTTAATTTGTGCTTAAAAACTTGATAATAAAAATAATAAAGTGCTGGAATCTGGTAACGTGACATTTGTACATCTGCTATTTTTCACTTATTGTATCTATATTTTTCTCAAATATTTTTGTCCATAGGTAAAATTCAAGTCATTATATTAATTCAAGTTAGATAAACCTTCATCAGCTGCATTGCTTCATATAACAATCCAAGCAATTGTTATTGTTTACATTGGTTTACATTGGTTTACATAAGTATTTAACTGCCTGCATTATAATAAGCACTCAACATAGGTTTAATATGTGTGGCGAGGATGGTGTGTAAGAGTGGCGATGGCCCGTTAGTGATGATGTAGGAAGCGTCATGTTACATGCCTCATTGCCCAAGGACGAAGGCTCAACCTGTTCTGGCAGCTGGTGGGAAGTGCAGACTCACCACGGCACCGTACTGTGGCACTGTGTCATGGTAAATATAAGTGTCTTACAATAGCAGGCAATAAATAAGGTACTACCTAGTAACAAGCTGTACCGATATAGTAGGCTTCCTCAGTTGACTACAAAACTATGGAGTAGTATACTTACCCAGGCTGAGTAAGTGACCGCCTCAAAACTACTTCAGGGTTGATGGACTAATCACATCATCTTTACTTCTCCACTTACATGAAGAAGCTTACTTTATAGTCAAAACGTTTCGGAACGAACGATACCTAACTGTTGCCCAATGTTTCTGGCTCACCTACTTGTTGGTAATGTTTACCACAGTGGTAAAACATCGCTACCCATTACAATGACCCGCCTTCTGCCACACTTTTTTTTTTTTTATTATTACTGAACAAAATTGGATTTTTCAGCGGTGTGCTACTACCCAATTCTGTGTGAGTGTTACATGATAGGAACCTAACAGTTTCTCTGCCATATTACATTACACACGATTGATTTCAAGCATCTAATATTTAAAGTATGTCAGCCTATGCTGAATTACTTCCGTACAACGACAAGGATATCGGTATGAATTCCGCTAAGAGTTCATTATCAATGGGAGCTCCAAGAGTTTCGTTCCAGCTGGAGTTACTACTGATTGAAAGACCTATTTCTCATGCCAGCCTATTAAACATACATAAAAAATAAAATATAGTCACATATCACACTACCTTACCTATCACGCACAGTACTGTACACACCCCACTACACAAGCTACACAACACACTACACGACACACTACACACTAAATTAAACACCACATTACAAATATTGCTACACACAACATTACACACTATGATACACAGCACGTTACACTAGTGAGTCTCTACGAGAGAGTCGAAAATGTGTCCTGCTGGTGTCCTGGGAAATGAAAAGACTCATGCATAGGCGATGGATGTCATAACGAACTCGACAACAGATTTCTGCCTAACGTACGTAGATATGGTGTTAGGAAGTAGAGAGCCCGGTGAACTCCACTGACGAGAAGCATGTTAAACAAGGTTCAGCAGAACGTGGGTATGTAACCCTCTTTCTTCAAGCGAATATTTTTGATTAAGGATCGGGCACACTACACACCACACTACACACAACACCACACACCACACATCACACTACACAAAAAACACACCATACTACACACCATACTACACACCACACTACACACAACACACTACACATCACACTACACATCACACTACACATCACACTACACACCACACTACACGCACCACACCAGACACCACACTACAAACCACACTGCACCATGCAACTCACCAAACTACGCAACATACTACGTAATACTAACACTACACACCATGCAATTCACTTTGCTCAACATTACATCACTTGTGGCACTTTGTTTCACTAAGACGACTTAAGTGATAGGTTATTGAGTTGGTACAGTGACAGTGATGCGAAACCTTATCTAATTATTTAAGACCCTTGAAGCTTGGGTCAGGGATGATTGTGACAGTGAAAGTGATCGAGGGTGACATCGTCCCGCCGTCACTTGGTGAAAAAATCACATAAATATGACCTCGTTTACCCATTACTTTCTATCACAATTGTGTTCGACGAAGTAAATGGGACGAAAAGTGTTTTCTAAATCGAGAGGTAAAGTCAATGTAGAGGTTAGGCCTTCGTAGAGGCGTGTGACATTACAGTTTTGTGTAACCATGTTTTTATTTTCCATAGTGAGCACAAGATGGAGTGTAGTGTAGAGAATAATATTATGGCTGACTTTTGTGAGTACTACGCAGGAAAACGCCCTGTCCTTTTGTGTTGTACTCCCACAGTGAAACGGCGTTTTGTCTGGGACTCCACCCTTCAACATTGTTGTGCGTAGTACTAGTCCGTGGAGCATTGCTGTATGTGGTACTCCCACTGTAAAGCATTGTTTTATGTGGTACTCCCACTGCGGTGATACTCCACCGTGGAGCATTGTTTTGCGTGGTACTGCCACTGTGCATTATTTTTCTCTGTGGTACTCTCACCTTGGAGCAAGGTTTTGTGTTTTACTTTCACCGTCAATCATTTTTTGTGTGGTTTTTCCACTATATAGCATTGTTTTTTTGTGGTACTCTCACCGCAGAGCATTTTCTTCCAGTTTCATATAGAAACGCGTTGTAGTGTACGTGAATGCATAGAGTAAACCTGAGTTGCGATTCAGGCGGCGTGTTAAATTTACCTATGGTCTTTTCCAGATTTCTTAGATCATGAATAATCGATCCCAAAGGAGGGCCCCCCCCCCTAAAAAAAAAATCTTATATTTCCTTGTATTTCACCATATTATATGTTTTAAGGCATGAGGTATCAAATTTCATATCTTTTTGGTTAAATGTACCTGAGTCACACAAGTATAAAGTACAAGTCCTTGGTAATGAAAATAACCCTCGAAGTTATAAACTATTCTCGGTATTTTATACCTTTCTTGCACAACTTGTCAGACACTGCAACATCATGGAATCTTGGTTCAGAGAACATCTACAAGACCTTCTTCGCGGCTGCTACAACTAACCCATCCCTTTGGGTAGGACCAACTTCCACTGGGAAATCCCGCCTACCAGTGACTATGCCCTCGTCTGCTACACGTCCTTATCCACTGACGCCTATATAACCGCCAGTCTTCTTGCCTTTGCTCCAGATTCTCCTCCACCACAATGCTGTGAACACTATCTCCAAGGCTGAGGGACTGATTACCTCATCTTTTCTACATAGTTCCACTGTTTTCTAATTATGTCCTCCAATCTGTACTGATAAAGCCACTGGATGGCGAAACGTCTACAATAAAGATATCCAGATGTTGCACATGTGTCTTAACTGACAAGTTATCAGCATTTTCATCCCAGCCATGGGAGGTCACCTGGAGTCGACCCCTCCATGAATTCCTGTGACCATGCTTGTTCTCTGACTATGCTGATCATGACTGTGCTTGAAATGCTAGAAAGAGGGCACCAGGAATTGACCCCTTCATGAATTCCATAATACTGGCGCTTTTGAAAAAGTATTTACCGTGAGTCATGAAGAAATTTCAGCTGAAAGAACCCATTTCTGACCGAAAGACCTCCATGATAAAGCCTGCTACCAGAAGCAGTTGCATGGAGACAGTGATAAGACTGACCGTACTGACTTGAAGATGATTATTCTTCAATGGTTACCTATCCTTCGAGAGGAATTAGGATTCGGAAGACAAATTATGCTTATGACTAATGAAACAGTTCAAGATCTTGTTATGACATCCAACGTTGGAAATTCAGCATCCAGTGACTACAAGACACTCTCAAGAGCTGCATTTATCTACGGCTTTGAGATTGCACATCATCTAAGTGATGGTAAGAATTTATTCTCTTTGGAGAAGCATGGATTTACAGTACGCTTGAATGTTAATAATAATCAGTAGCTGATGCTCTTAAGTTCCTGATTAAGATGATCACTCATGGCCCATTGATACAAACATGGAAGAAAGTGGTAGTTTAAAGATAAAGAAATGCTGCATTTTTAAGATGTACTATTATTTGCATACAATGGACTCTTTCTTCACTGATTGTTCAGAAGCCAAGAAGCTGTGCATAGACTTTCACAGCCTGGTCTGGCAGTCATCTTTAACCGTGGTAAATACCTTGAGCTCAAGCTTACTAAGTCGGCAAAGAGTTAATTCTCTACTGAGCGAATTGTTATTCCTCCTGGCCTCCGTCGTGGGCTTCTCACAGCGAGTGCTATCAGTAACATTGGTTATGATCCATCTTCAACTATTTGTCGGAAATAATTTCATGGTACAGCAGGTTCAATGTTTCAGTCACTTAGTACTCTGAATGATGGAGAAGAGAGAGATTCACCAGCTCCAGAAACTGGCTGAAATAAAATAATCCTACCTGATGAATACACAACAGTTCCTCAACTTTCTGTTAGACTGAAAGCTTCGCCTCAGGAAAGCCTCACTATGACCATGATACTCTTGCCGAAGAGATCTCAAAGGAAAAAAATGCTTCTATGCTTGAAGAACAAAAGGATGAGAATAAAAACCCTGGCACCACGTGGTCAGCTAATCATGGTGTCCATGCTACTTATTTTGTCCTTTTCCTTAGTGATCACCTCATTTTAAAGTAATCCAATGACCCTCCAATAATCCTACATGCTGTGCAACTGGTTATCAAGAGTACAGCCTACCTATGATCATTAAAGACCAGCAGAGTACGCAATGAAGACAAAGCTTCAATAGGCATACTCTTAAATAGTCGGTAATATAGCCGTGATGTTAGAAGAGATTCCACTTAGAGAAGCTGGCCTTACTCTCTCTTGGTGACCTATAAAATTCTGGTGGGCCATCAGGCATTGCTGAAGCTAGAATAATAACACGTGTAATCTATATGCCTGTGGCTGGAATGGAATGATTAATTATCATATTTTTTCGAGAATTTTTACTGTAAAAAAAATAACTCTAGGACCTTCAGATTCATTTAACAATAAAAATAGTGGGGAAATCTCATTCCTCATATTTTAAAACGTAATAAATGATGAATCATTCGTATATGAATCTTATTTAGTTGCTATGTATGACACAGAGCATGTGATTTTCATAGGCCTACGGGGTTTCAGAGGTGGTCTTCCTAGAGACCATAAGGGATTTTTTTTTTTTTTGCCCCACTTAGCGTTCGATTTTTTCATGACCTGGAGGAATTCGAAAAAAACATCATGGCCAAACTTTGCCACGCCGTCTGAATCACGATATACTAGTACGTTTGGTTCAGGAGTGAATTTTATCAGATTACTTAAAGGTGTTAAATTAGACACATGTGCAACTCTTGGGTATCTTTATTGAGGAAAAGTTTCGCCACACAGTGGCTTCATCAGTCCATACAAAGGATAAACTTGAAGAACAGGAGGAGAATGAGGTAATCAGTCCCTCAACCTTGAGTCGATGTGGTCAGTCCATCAATCTTGAATAGATTGGTCAGTCCATCAATCTTGAATAGATTGGTCAGTCCATCAATCTTGAATAGATTGATGGACTGACCACATCGACTCAAGGTTGAGGGACTGATTACCTCATTCTCCTCCTGTTCAAGTTTATCCTTTGTATGGACTGATGAAGCCACTGTGTGGCGAAACTTTTCCTCAATAAAGATACCCAAGAGTTGCACATGTGTCTAATTTAACAACGTGTCGGTTCTTTGAACCATTCATCTACAATTACTTAAAGGTCACTTCTGATTGAAATAGTCTGTAAAACAATTCTACTTTTCTAATTTTGATTTTACAGAATGTCTGGATTGAAAAAATTGTTACACAATAATAAACTTTGAGCATAAATCTGAAAACACCATTAACTTTTAGAGGTCAAATTGCAAAAGAAAGTAAGAGTCACTATGTATAAAGTTTATATGTATTAGAAATATTAAAATCCTATGAATAATTACTGACTAATCATTCACAATATATATACAAGGTTCTACGCCTTATAAACTTCTCGACATTATGAGTCGAATGTCGAATTCATTAGGCTGGTATTGGCCAAGTTACTTGCGCACAAAGTTCAGACATCCAAACTGAATAATAATGGGAAATTACAAAATTCATTACCCTTAGTAAAAATATATATTTACAAATTCTCTGACCCTGGTGAAAGAAAAAAGTTACTTAATAGATCATGCCATGAGAGTATTAAGTTGCAACGTAGGTGACCCAGGATATTATAGGATGTTATTAAATATGTGACCTTTGTTGCAATGGATAATTGCAAAGTAGGTAAGAGTGGTAATAATATGTTACCAAGTAGGTTACTCTAGTGATAAAGAAAAGTTACAAAGTAGTTTACCCTGGTGATAACAATTAGTTACAATGAAGACAACCTTGGCGATGATGGAAGCTAAAAAGTAGTCGACTCTGGTGATGTAAAAAGCAATAATATAGTAGACCTTGGTGATGATAGGTAGTTATACATTTGGTGACTCAGTAACAATGGGCAGTAACAAAGTAGTTGATGTTACATACTAAAAAAAATATTCTTCCACGAATATACTTAAGGTTGTATGTGACAACAGGACATCGTACCTCGCCTATATGCATCATAATGTTGTGAATATATTTGTTTGCTTACAGAGCTGACTGAATTACTAGAGACTGTTGGGACTTTGTGATTGTTTCAATGGTTTGTTGACAAATTTGCGATATGTACGTGAGGATAATAAGGTCATGCGGTGTACGTGAGGATAAGGTCATGCGGTGTACGTGAGGATAATAAGGTCATGCGGACTATTGTTTGACAAGTAAATTCAAGAAATGAACAAATTGTGACTTACTCTCGTATAAATGAAACCAAATCACTTAAATAACCAGATGTGTTCCTGAAGCTGCGCGACCCGAGAAGTGTGAATTGTATCCCCGTATTCCCTAAGCCCAGCACCTCACCTTCACCTCACTGAGCGCAGGAGGAAGTGTTATGAGTGCAGCATATGTTTCTAATGCAGTTAAATATGAACATTGAAGATCTGAAGACTGACTTCGAGCGAAGCCAATTATCACTGAAAGATTGAAGCCAATCAGAAAAGCCATTCATTTGTTATCGCGTGAAATACAGAGATTACAAGTTTTGTAAATATCATTGAAAATTAGTAAATTTGCTTACACTCCAACAGTACGTCAAGTCCTAAAAACCATTCGTCTCCATTCGCTATCTAAAACAAGACACTGGAGGTGCTAAGACCTTTCAAACTGCTGCCAGTACTTCATCAGGAGTTTTGCAGTTGAGGATATTGTAAAAGAAAATTGACACAAAGTAGGTTAATACAGTGTGGCTACCAGTGACACCAGCACAAGACATGGCTGAGCAACAGTGCAGCGCCCATTCGTGGGCGAAGGTTACTTGTCAGGAAGTTTAAAAAAAAATAGAGAAAAATAACAGAAAGCACACAAACCATATCACGTTGAAAATGGTAACCTTTGAAATATAATAATAGTGTTAACTTGTACAAAGGCCCGGTGGCCTGGTGGCTGAAGCTCCCGCTTCACACACGGAGGGCCCGGGTTCGATTCCCGGCGGGTGGAAACATTTCGACACGTTTCCTTACACCTGTTGTCCTGTTCACCTAGCAGCAAATAGGTACCTGGGTCTTAGTCGACTGGAGTGGGTCGCATCCTGGGGGACAAGATTAAGGACCCCAATGGAAATAAGTTAGACAGTCCTCGATGACGCACTGACTTTCTTGGGTTATCCTGGGTGGCTAACCCTCCGGGGTTAAAAATCCGAACGAAATCTTATCTTATCTTAACTCTTACACTCTTAGGTACATGCAAATGTTACTCCAAAATAGGGGAAGTTATTGCGTGTCACTCATCTACTTGTGGAGAGTTATATATCTAGAATGGGTCACCTATTCGAGCATTTAAACTTAAAGAAAAACATAGTGAAGTCTTCATGACTTAGCTTTGACAGTAATGAAAATACTGTGTGAGTTAGAATAATCCTCTGAAAGTAACTGAACTACTGTAAGTGTTAATGAGATGAGGTATTAAGCTATATTTACCAACTAAGAGAGAGCATTAACAGAGTGCTTCAGGGTAGACGACTCATCTGCGGGAAAACGTGCACATAGCACAGGCAAACCTCACTCACACATATCTGTACCCATGTGTGGGTGTGTGGGTGTGCGCGCGCGCACACGCACGCACACAATCGCACACAATCACACACACACACACACACACACACACACACACACACACACACACACACACACACACACACAAAGTTCGTTGGTAAAATTCCAAGTGGAAGAAAAGTATTCAATTGTCTCCTGACAACGGCAGCTAAACCAAGGCAGATCTCAACGCTTGGTAACATACTGTTCATGAGAATTGTAATTGTGGTGGAGATCCAAAATGTGATTAGTGAAGGCATGTGCTTGGTTGTCACTACTCTCACAGAGCAAGACTTTCCACCATGTTACGGCATGCCCTGCTTGGAGAGATGACCGGTTTTTCTTGTCCTACAGCCAGGTTTGAGACCTTTCCTCCTGTGTGGTTTGACAGGGAAACATGTCAAGTAATGACTATCTATGAACAGGAAGGCTAACAAAAGACTTGGTTTGATAGCTAGAATCATCAAATATAAAAAAAAAATCACACACTAGACCGCATCACGTCCAAACCCTCCAGTTTTAAGCCTCAAATTGCTTAATAGACTGAGATATACCAAATAGGCATAAGAGGTATTTTGCAAAGAAAATTATAGGAAATTGGAATAAGCTAATCACTAATATTTTTGCTCGAAGAAAATACAGTCGGTCAAGAAGTAGCTGGAAAAGCACTTTACGAAAGTATAGGATTCAACAAG